GGGAGATGAGCAGAGGTGTAAATTGTATGGCGAGCTGCCGGCTCTGAGGTGAAAATGAAAAGTCTTCAGGCAGCAGCAGCAGCAGGCACAGCAGGCTGGGGTGCCAGGCACAGCACCTCGCCTTCCCACCCCGCTCCTTCACACCTTCCCTTTTCTGCAGTCTTCCCCCAGCTCCTGCCCAGGCCTGGCTCTGCTTGCCTAAATCCCCTGTCATCCCTTGCCATTTAGGGGTCTCCCAGACTGGCCCTGGGTTAAACCTGACCCCAAGAAGGCCTTGAGCTTTTGCTTCCATTGTATTTTTCTAATTGGCTGACTGGTATACAGAAAAACAGGCCGTGATTTTCTTACCTTTGTGACTTAATGCTTATGGTTCCATCATTGGTTCTTTTGGGGTTTTCCAGGTGTATGGTTGCCTTATCTTTAAATAATGGCGTTTCTTTCTTCATTACCAGTTCCCCACTTTTTTTTTTTTTTTTTGTGGGACTGGGGTTTGAACTCAGGGCTTTATGTTTGCAAAGCAGGTATTCTACTACTTGAGCCACACCTCCAGTCCATTTTGCTCTGGTTATTTTAGAGATTGGGTCTTGGGAACTATTTACCAGGGCTGGCCTTGAGCTGTGATTCTCCTGATCTCAACCTTTCAAGTTGCTTGGATTATAGGCGTGAGCCACTGGTGCTTGACTCTATTCTTTTTTTTGAGATCACCTATTCTAATCCCTTTATTTCATAGTTGGGGAAACTGAGGCCTACAGGGAAGCTACCCATTTGTTAATAGCTATGCTAAGGTTCTGGGATCATGCATGGGGCCCTGTCTGCTACTTCTTTCCCCCTGTCTTCTCTCCCCAACAGTCTGTCTCCTTTGCCTTTCATTTTCTGAGCTTTGGGCTTTTCTGCTACTGAGGGGAAGAGACGGTGCTCATTAACTCTTCAGCAGACTCTCCCTCCTGCCATTGAGGTGCCCCTCCAGAGCACCCCACAGACAGGTTTAGGTTCTGGGCCAAAGGCCATTGGGAGGCTCGGTAGGGATGAGAAGGAGCCAGGAAGAGGGAAGTTGATGGAAGTTCCTGGGCAGAATAATAACAATGAGCTACATTTTAGCTGCAGCCTCCCTGCTGTGCCTCCCCCAAGCACTTTGCACATGAGATGCAGACCGGCTGCTTGAGGGGCCTCCAGGGTCTGAGCCCCCACTTACAGGGACTGCTGTGTTCAGGCGGGTGCACATTGGTGTCTGTGTAATTAAAAATGAGCATGCATCACTTCCTCCAGTGAGGAAATGCCACCACTTCGGGTGGCATACAACAGCTGCTTGCTGGCTGTGTGGCCTCTTGGCATGGAGGGATGGGTAGGATTGGGCAGCAAAGGGTAAACAGGGAGCCCAAGGCCTCTCAACCCAGTGAGACAAGAGGTAAGAGGCCATGATGGGGTTAGGATGGATCAGGAACACCCCTCCTTTTCTGGGCCTGGAGCTCATGTAGGAGATATTTGACCCAGTCCTTGTCTGCACTCATGGCCACCTCCTTTTGAGCATTTGCTACCTAGCTCTAAGCAAACCCAGAACATGGGCATCTTGGAAGTGAGATCCATCCTCAGCCTCCAGCCTTTACCTGACCTCTTCTGTCTTCTATCGCCTTCACACCCTTAGCTGAAGCTAGTGCACAGGATGATGTTCTGAGAGCAAAACACAAAATAAGGTACTTCAGGTCCTCTCTCTTACTTCCTTCCTCCTTCTCCTTGAATTCAGAAACACGTGCTAGAGGAGTTATTGTAGGTCCTGATGGGAAACCTTGGCTCACATACCAGTCTAGCCCTTTGTGGGAGTCCTGAGTGTAAAGGGCTGATGCTTGCTGAGCTTGAGATGAGAAGCAAGTGTCTCATGTATTCCTAAGGTGGCTGAGATGGTGGCTTTTTGTGAGGTGATGAGTTTCCCATCTGCTAGGATTCCTGAGTGATAGCAGATGTCGGTGCAAGGTGGGATGGTGACGGGAGACATGCTAATGACTGAGGTCTCCACACATTGTTGGTGGTATCCCAAATTCCCCCTTGTTTCTGCTTATGGAAGGCCCAGGTTAGAGGGGGCCTGGAGGTGTTTCTGAGGGATGGAGGCCTCTAAATCTAGTCTCTAGCAGTTCCTGGTGAAACCTTGTCATGATTGGCTAACTTCCTGCTGTGGAGAGGTGAAGGGGGCTGTGGCCATTTGCGTATCTCCTCTCTTGGAGAGGGCCTGATGGTTCCTGTGAGTCTGTATGTGTGCATGAGCTGCTCTGGGTTGTGGGTTTGTCAGTTGGCCAGTGGCCTCGTGGCCAGAGTAGGTTCCCTTGTCCTAGTGATGCTTCCATGTCCCTTTGACTGTCTGGGCTGCAGAAGAGAATATGCTAGGGCTGGAAGGACTTCAGGCCTAGCCAGGTTCTTTTACCCAGCAGTACCAGCCCAGTATGGCATTGAGTGGTGTCCTTGGCCATTGGCAGTCTGCTCTCCAAGGGCTCCCTGGGGCTAGCTGAGGGAGAGGCAGCTGGCCTTGTCTTCCCCCAATGATTTTTTAATATGTACTGGCTCATTGACATGTTGCCCTGGCTAAAGCTCCTGCTGTGCAATAAGAACCCAAGAGTTATCCCTTGGCCACTCTCCTCTCCCAGAGGCTGCATCTGGCTGGGAGGGAAAGGGCTTGTCCTCTCTGCCTGATCACTCAGGGACAGGGCATATTGCCATTCCTGCTCCCTTGCTGTCCATTCCCAGCCCCCATTAGATTCATTTCTGCTGGGTGGGCAGAGTACAGAGAGGAGAGGGGTTTCCTAGGAAGAACTGCAGAGGCAGATATAAGCCCCTACCCTGTCTGTCAGCTGAAGTTGGAAGTTCACCCCTTTGCCTTCTCTGCTCCTCCTTCTCTGCCCCTGAGTCTGAATTTTGGCAGGACCTGGCATGTATTATAATGATTTGGGGGTGAGCAGTCAGTGGGATTTTAATTAACTCCAAGCTTCTTTCCAGTAGGACAGGCCAGGAGCCCCCAGATGGCAGTGGTGGGTTCAGGGGTCAGCACCAGGATGGGTTCACATCTAAGGAAGGCTTGGGCAGCTGGTGTTCCCTGTGTAGAAGACTGCAAGGAGGGAGGGATGGACGGAGAAGGAAGGGTTGTGTAGCTGGGCCACAGTTATCCTCTGTTTCCCCCGTTCCTCTGTTCTCCCCGATGGCTTTGAGATGAAGGCGATGGCAAGGATGGAAGATGCAGTTTCCATGGCAACGGGGCTGTCCACAGCCAGGCAACTTCAGAGCTGGGCTCTCTGGAGGAGGCAGATGCGCAGAGCAGCCACAGAGTTGTCTCCTGCCTGATAGCAAGGGGGCTGACAGAGCAGGTGGCACAGGGTGTCTGCCTGGTGCTGCCCACCCTGATGCCCAGCCTAGAAGAGAGTGTAGAAAGAGCACTACCTCCCTCTTTTCCCTGTGACTGCCAAGCTTCCCCAGAAGGGAAACTAGGGAGATTGGGGTAGGGGTAGAGTCCCCATTGTCCCTGGAATCTCTGGGTGAACAGAAACTTTAATCTCTGGGAGCAGCCCCCAAGGCCTTGGGATGGCCATAGGCCACTTTGCTGCTGCTGCGGTTTGGACCCTTTGAATGCCCAGGGCATGAGGATGATGGTGAAGGCTATACTCTGACTGGATTTGGGGACCCTTTCCTTTCCTCTCGCTACCAGGGAGGAAGAACCTGGACCATCTTCAGGGAGCCTCCCTGACTCTGGCCTTGGCACTCTGGCCCAGTTTGCTGAGTGGAGCTCAGGTTTGGCAGACACCTGCCCTCAAGTGCTGGCATTGGAGGGACCTGAATCTGATAGCTCCTATTCCCTGTTGGTGTGTTCTCATCAGTCTGCTCCTAAGGACAAGAGCTGTAGTGGGCACATGGGCAGGTGGAGAAATAAAGAAAGCCATCAAAAGAATCAAAGGTGTGTTTAGAGATTGCAGAAGTTGGGCATGGACTAATGAGACGGAGGAGGCCTGGAGAGCAACCAGACTGGCATGAAAGATTGGACTCAGACTACTAAAGATGACTTTCATTTACTGACCTTGGAAGCATCAGGGCTATGTGTTGCCCTCTGCAGTTGGGAACATGGAGACTAAAGATGAAAGGCTGAGCCTGGGTCACCTATGGAGTTTGAGGCTGAGCTGCAGCTGACCTGGGCCAGGCTGTCCACCCGCAGTGTGACCTCCCAGATACACCCTTTCCAGCTGACACTGAAGGTCCAGACTGGGTCCGCCTTTTAGGCTTACTCCTCCTTTCCTTTTCCCTCTGTGTGCTAATTTTACCACTCTTTGCTGGCTTTAATTGAAGGAGGTTCCTCAACCCTTGGGTTGGCCAGGCAGGTGGACAAGTGGAATCCTGGAGTGGCTTCTGCCTGCCAGGAGTTAAGTCTCTCATTACTGCTAAGTGGAAGGCTCATTTCAGAGCTCGTGGTGAGAGCTGGCGGGTGCTATAAATAGCCATGTTGTGAAGGTTGGCGGGTGAGCAGTGACAGGGCAGGGGCCTCACAGTCATCTTAGTGGGTAATTGTGCTCCATTGCAGGAAAGGGGAACAGACTCTAGAGCGAGATGCACTTGACCCCTGTTCTGATTTTTCTTGCCTTCCTCAAGGCAGCTCTGGCATGTGTCTGCCTGCTTTCACATATTAGTGGATAGGGAACACAGTGGTCTCTGTCCATGCAGAGGGATGTGGCTTGCCTGCCAGAACTTGGGACCCAGAAGCTGGTACTTCAGCCTCTGGGTAATGTCCAGAGCTAGACTCACATGTCCCACTTGTCCCTCCAGCTCAGGGTCTGCCTCCTCCCCCTTGGCTAAAATCTTGGGTCCAGGTGTGAGATGTGGGAGCCACATTTGATAGTCTCAGAGGTTGACATAGACCTAGCAGGAAAATAAGAATGGGAGTGAGCTCTGTGGGCAGGGGCTAGAGGTCCAATGGTCAGGTGCACTGGCCTCACTTGATATCTTTGGGTCAGTCAGCATTGTCCAGGGTAAAGATGAAGTCAGGTCCAGTGAGTTCCGCGATGGAAAGTCTGACAGCCAAGACCTTGGCTTAGGTGTCTAGGACCATATAGTTTATGGGGTCCCTGTCCCAGATGGTCTAGTTTCATGGCTCTCTCAGACCAGCTTTTTGATTCCAGACATACACATAGAATTAGCTGTTCTAGGTTCTGAGTTCTCTTAGTACCTGCCCTAGTGTGTTGTCATAAGGAGTCTTGGACCCTTAGGTCATCACACTCTGGAGTATGGGTCCCCTCTTGGGGGCTCTGCATGTCCTCCTTCAGTAGGGGTTTGAAACTTGGGAGGGATTGGTGTGGGAGGCACAGCCAACCCCTCTGGAAGGAAAAGTCAGTAGACAGTTTCTGGGACCACTCAGAGACAAGTGGATCAGGGGCCCTTTAGGTTTATTTTACCTTTTGCAACTCTCTGACTAGGAGCGGAAGCTGTGTGCCCACCCTCGGCTGGAGATCTACCAGCAAGACAAGATCCATTTCATGTGCCCACTGGCACGGCAGGGAGACTTCTATGTGCCTGAGGTGAAGGAGACAGAACGGAAATTCCGAGGGCTTGTGGAGGCCAGTGATGCCCAAGTAGATGGCACAGGTATAAAAGGTGGGAGAAGCCCCTCTTCTGGACATCCAGGGCATTGAGAAGGCTCCTCCATCTTGGCTAGTACTATGGTGTCATACTATGCTTGGCAGAGGGAAGAAGGAGATATGTGTATCCCAGCTCAGGACCCACATACAGAGTTGCTTATTCCCAGACATGTGGATCGTGTAGATATGGATTCACACACGGTCACCCTGGCAACACAAACACCCTGCCTGTATTCCCTTCAGATGAAACAGGAGTACCCTTGGAAACCCAGATCACAGACAGCTGGATGCTCATGGGAAGGGTGCTGAGGCTGCTCAGGAAAGGAATCATTGGGTAGGGTTCATCAGGAAGTATGATTGGTACTAGATCTGGAAAGTAAGGGGAGAACAAGGTGTTTTCCTGTCCGTCAGTATGGGGTCCCTCCCAGAGCCCCTGCTACCAGAGCCAGCCCATGTACCTGCTGGCAGCCAAAATGCCTGAGGGCCAGGCCAACAGGCTGCTTGCCTACACCTAGCCCACCCCTTTGCCCTGACCTCTTGTGATCCTAGGCTGACCCCAGAGGCAAAGGGCTTGCTGGTAACATGCCAGATGGCACCAGGAGGCCCATTCCTTGACTGTTCTGGTGGACCCCTATGTGATTCTGGAAGCCTACGACTTCTAGAAGTGGTCCAGGGCTGTGAGGAGAGGAACAGTCCCTCTTCCTTCTCTAGGAAAGACTGCTCATCCAGTCTTCAATAGCCAAGGTCACCCTAGAAAGACATGTGTTGACAGGGACTGGGAGGGGAGGGTACTGGGAGGCAGTCTGTACTCCCTAGGGGCCTGTGTCCAACACAGTTAACTTCATCTGCCACTTAATTACCTCCATGGGGTACTGCTCCCTTCTGCCTGTAGTGCCTGACAGACAATTTTCATGCCCCTACTGTGGGCACAGGACATGGCACAAGGTCAGCAGGCCCAAGTAGCCCTCAGGGCAAGAAGGAAAAGCACCTTGACCTTCCTATGATTTCCCTTTGCTACCCGCTTCCCCCCTCCTTGGCCCACCCACCCAGCTTCCTTTCCTCCCAAACACTGCCTGCCAGGGGTGTTAAAGGACTGCTTGGCACCCGCTACAGCTGGCTGCAGCCGCAGCTCCCACACTCCCTAGTTCCTCAGCCTGCCCTCCTCCCCACCACCTCCCCGCCCACTCTGGTGTAGGGGCTGAGGGGGTCTGCCCACCTCCGACAGGGCCTGTCCTGACACCCGGGGCAGACTCTGCACATCCACCCGCCAGGTGCATGCCACTTACCCAGCAGTACGTAGTGGGTGCATGGTGGGTGCCTGGTGGGTGCCTGTCCACCCAAGGCTTGGCCTGTCCCTGCCTGCCTCCCTGCTGGGGCCTCAGCTTGGGCTGGGAGGTGAAAAGGGGTGATTAGCTGCCTTGTGCCTGTTATTACATTGATGTATTATTTAGCTTCAGAGAAGCGATGAATATTTGATCTCCTTGCATTGGCTGTGGGCAGAGGAGGGAGGGAAGGACTGGGTAAAGGTGGTAGTTTCACATCCCCTCCCCAACAGCCCTGGGGATTTAGGTGCTGCCCTACCTTGCCTGGCATCTTCTCTCCAGGGACACAGGCTCAGAAAACTGGGACCTCCTCCTGTGTACATCTTAGTGGGACTGTAGAGATGCCACTCCCATGCCCTTTCCCAGGGGCTGTCTTCATCCCAGCATACTGAGCCCTGGGCCGAAAGGAGGCACCCCTGGGCTCCTTCCTCTGATCACTTCTAGCCTGGGAGTGGGGAGGGAGAAGGTGTCTAGCTAGGAAGCACTCAGGTCACTGTACTCTGGGGTCTCAAAAGCCTAGGTAGTGGTGAGTGGGCAGACAGAACTATTCCCCTCCTTGTACTTTCCAGGCTCAAAGTACCTGGGGCACTGATCATCAATTTAGAAGTGAGTAAGGAACAGGAATTCTGCCCCAGGTTCAGCAGAAAGCACCCATAACTCAGAGTTTACCCTGCGCTCTTGTTTTATTCTACTGTCATGCTGTACCTGGGGAGCCAAGTCAGGGGCCCCAGCAAGAAGAGCGCCCAGGGCCAGCAGTCTGGCTCACCTCATCTCTGCCAGGAGGGCCCAAGAGGGCATCTTTTGATAGTACAATGGATTGGGGGAGCAGATCCCAAATCCCTTCATCCTCATCACCCTAGACCCCAGCTGTGGCTCAAAGGACAACTCCAGGTTAGTCTAAATGCCAAGCAGTCCCCAGATGCACCTGGCTTAGGGCTCTGTCACCATGGAGACGGGAGCTGGGGGAGCCAGGAATCTGGTCCACCCCTCACCTTCCATGATGTTTAACAGTTGCCCCTGCTGCCTCCTACTGGAGGGATGACATGTCTCCCCATCTGGAGTCCTGCACACAGTGGCCCTAAGCTCATTGTTTCTCTTTGCCACCTCCCACCTGCATTCAGTGACTCTGATGGGGAAGTGAATCGAGGGACTGCTCCCGGACAGGCCAGGTGAAGGGCCACTTGCTTGGAGGATGTATTGGGGGTGGAACAGTTTGGGGGCTTGGGCTTTCAGCTGCTCAGCACTGTTTCAGGGTCCCCCAGCCACCATAAAAAGTGCTTTCATGGCCCTCTTTTGCTACTTTGTGGTGCAGGAAGCACCTGTCTGGGTTGACCCAGACAGGAGGAGAAAGTCCTTAGAATGCTCCATCCTAGCACCCTTTTTCCTTGCAGCTGGTTGAGTGTTTCTCAGGATTTCTCCATCCTCATGTCTCAGCCCCCTCAAGTGGGTACTCAACATGACCAGGGGTAGGGGCCAGCTGACTTCCTGAATATAGCTACTTCCTGTAGCCTGTGTGGGGGCAGGGCTGGGCAGCTGGTCTCCTGGTCAGTTCTTCATTCCTTATGCCTCATGGGCAATGTTCTGTTGCTGGCTCTGGACAAACCTCTTTCTAAGCCCGAAATGAAGGGTGGAGGGGACACTACTTGGGTCTCTTTGTTCTATACTCGGCTCCTCACCCTGGGGCTGAGTGGCCCTTAATGGAAGTGGGGGTGGGGGATGGCAGCTTTGTGGGAGTGCAGGGAGCTGAGGCTAATTCAGGGTAGGGAGAGGAGTGCACAGCCAGCTGCTCCCCTCTCCCTCTCTCCCTCTCTCCCTCCTTCCCTGTACTCTCTCAGTTCTATCAGTGCAGCCCCAGTCAGGGCAGAGGGCAGAGGGCAGGTGGAATGGGCCTCCTGAGCCAGGGAGCTGTATTATTCATGAGTTCCTGCCCTTTCCCTAGAGGAAGGTGCTGTGGGGGGTTGTATGGCAGTCCCACCTAACCTGTGCTCCCTTGTCCTGGCCACAGGAGCTGACACGATGAGTGAAACGAGTTCTGTAAGCCTAGAGGTGAGCCCTGGCAGCCGGGAGACTACAGCCACCACACTGTCTCCTGGGGCTAGCAGCCGTGGCTGGGATGATGGTGATAACCGCAGTGAGCATAGCTACAGTGAGTCAGGTGCCAGTGGCTCGTCGTTTGAAGAGCTGGACCTGGAGGGCGAGGGACTCTTGGGGGAACCACGCCTGGGTCCTGAAGTCAAGCCTCTGGAGGCCACTCGGGAGCCTAGTACCCCTGAGAAGGGTGAGGAGTAACCTGCAGCCCACACCCTCCTGTTGTGCAGTTGATAAGGAACTGAGCAAAACTCTCCAGCCCTCTTTTCTCCTTCACCTCCCCAGCCCAGGCTGGGGGTACCCGGGCGGACCTCACTTGCCCCACCCTATGCCTCTAGCTAAACCTCCTCACTGCCCTTTTGGCTCTCAGGGCCAGAGGAGCCAGGGACTGTTACATGTACTAGCCTCCCTGGGCTGCTGCCCATGTTGTCTTTTTTCAGACTCATGTTGGAGCTTCCAGAACCCAGAATAAAGCAAATGATTTTCTTGTTTCACCTGGATTTCAGCTGTGCACTTGTTTGTTAGTTCTACCTTGGAGATAGGTTGGGAGTGGGTAGGAGTCCCCCAAGCACAAGGAGAGGAAGGGACATGGCCAAGTACTGGAGGGAGAGGGATATTAGAAGCCCTTTACTCCCTGTGCTGTGACCTCAGTGGACAGCCATTCCTGCATTGCAGCAGCCCAGGGACTCCCAGGCTGCTGGATAGAAGCAAGCAGTGCCCTCCAGGTCTCAGGAGTGAGGAGCTCACAGCTTGCCTTTGTCTCCTTCCAAGGGATACCTTTGTGTCTGTGGCTCCAGTGTGCCTGTGCTCATGCTGGGACCTCCCCAGCAAGAGAAGACATTCCTGCTATGCCTGTCAGTGCCTTTGTACCTGGGTGTATGTATGTGCACCATGGATGGCGCTGCTGGTGGTGGTCCTGGGTGAGGCTGTGCACAAGTAAGCATCATGTGATTGTGGCTTGGCATGGCTGTGTGTGTGTAATGTTGTGCTTTGTGTGATTAACTGTATGTGGTTGCATTATAGGGATGTATGAGCCTGGCTTGGTAGAAATGCAAGCATCTCTATGGAGCCTTTGACCATGTACAATTAACTGCATGGGACTGTGTGTCTGTATAGCTGTGTGCAGTTGTGTGTTCATATGTAAAACTTTGTACATGTATAAAGCTATGGGTCTGTGCAGCTCAGCGTCCATGTGTGAGGGAGGGATTCTGAACAACCATCCATGTATGGCATGTGTCCATATGTATGTATGACATGGTTGTGTGGCCATGACCATGTATACAGCTGTATGTATGTGGCTGTGTGTTCACATATACAGCTGTGTGTGGGCATCACATGTACTTTTGGGTATTGTCCACATGTATTATGTATTATGGCTGTGTCTACACTGTACAAGTATGTATGTGTCTGTGTCCATATGTGCACGTATGTGGGTAAGTTGGGTGTATGTCGTTGTCTGTGTGTCTAGCCAGGAGGGTGGCTACATAGCTGTCATTGCGCATCTGTGCTGCAGTGGGACAGTGCAGCTTACTGCAGGCCATGTGATAGGCTTCTTGTGCTGCTGCTGTTTGTGACAGTATCTGTGTAGACAGCACTGTGTCTTTTGTGAGGCTGCCTTGGTGAGTGGGCTGGAAGTGTGGCTGGGATCACTGCAGCTTCTCTCACTTCAGCACCCTCCTGCTGTCAAGCCCTCTGCTCCAGGAGCCAGACCCATTGCTCACCTACCCCAGGGAGCAGTCACTATGAGCCAGCCAGAGGGTGAGAGCAGCCAGTCGCAGAGCCAGTTGGAAGACAGCATGTCTGTCTCCCCACCATTGTCTGACAGCCCTGAACCCTCATTCCACTGCCACCTTGTTTCCCATTAACAACTGGGCTTGTGTTTGTTTGTGTGTGTTTGATGTATCTGTGTTGTTTCAAAGCTGTGTTCTTTCCAGAACAGTGGGGTGTCAGGTTTCTGTATCCAGGGAAAAGATTTATCCTTGTGATCCCCCCACAAATGCCAAACACATGGGGAGGGGCCGTGCCTGAGGGGCTGGGGCTTGGCATTTCATAAGCACGTGCCTGAACTGACCTGGCTCCCACTGACACCTGTGGAAGAAAGAACAATGCCAGGGGAATGGGGAGGGATGCTGTACCCCTTAGCACTTGTTAGTGCATGTACATGCTGAGGACAGGTGGCGCAGGCTCTAGGGGCTCGATCTGGGTGCAGGCTTTCTCCTCAAATCCTGGCTCTAGGTTATCTACCACCCCCTATCCAGGGGCGTCCTTCCCTATCCTACTGTGGGAGGAAAGAGTCAAGAGTATCTTCTCAGAGCTGTCCTCCCTTTGTTCGGGCTCCAGCTCTTACTCCCTCCTACACAGAAACCAGTTCCAGAAATTTTTCCTCTGCCCCCTTCCCTCCTAGATCCCCTAGGTCCCAGACTCTAGTCCCTGGCCCTGAAACCCCACACAGGTTGATATTTCTGTCATAAATGCCCTTTGTACATAGGAGCAGGATTCATGGGGGAGGGGTAGCAGTTTTAAAGGTCATCTGCAGGAAGAAAGTGGAGGCCCCATCTTCTGACCTCCTCCTGCTCCCCCCACCTCCAGTATTTTCCTCATAGTGACTCGGGCCTTAACTCTCACATGGGGCCTGGTATGTGGACTGAGCTGCTGAGCTGAGGATACGGGGACAGTGTGGCAACAGGCCAAGCACTCCACCTACCTCTCACATACCTCTACCTATCCCCCAATGTCAGCTCAAGACCCTAGGGCCACCTTTTCCACTCTAGCAGGTAGGAACCTACACCGCTGTGCTCACTCTCCCGGCTCAGTGACCTTCCCAACCCAGTGCCCCAACCCTGTTCCCACCACTCTCTGGGACGCAGCCTGACTGCGGGGCGGAGGGGGCTGCGAGGCACCTGCTCCAGCGCAGAGTGGGAGCGCCCGGCGATTCAGCACCACGCGGTGGACAGCTCCAGGCCCTTTGGTCCTGCCAAGAGCAGGAGCTGCCGGAGGTGCAGAGCTAGGAACCCTGGAGGGGTCCGAAGGGAGGCGGAGGCTGAGTTGGGAGGGGTAGACCCGGAGTGGGGAGGAACGGAGGAGGGATTGGGGGCGGGCCGGGGCCGGGGGCGGGGCGGGCAGCGATTGAAAGCGGCAGGGCGAGCGGGTGATGAGCGCAGAGCCAGCGAGCGAGCGAGCGAGCGAGGAAGCGGGAGCCGGAGCCCCTCGCCCCTTACTCCGCGCCCCCTGCTCCACTCCGATCCCTTCTGTGCCAGAGCTGGGCGTGCCAGGTAGGGTGAGCCTGTAGTGCCGCGGTCACTGCCGACCTTTTTTGGGCCTGACCCCATGTCCTGGGGCCCCGCGGGTCCTCGAGTTCTAGGGCACCCGGGCCGGAGCGTCCAGACATCGTTCTCTGGGAGCTCCAGGGAAGCGGGAAGACAGTCCCAGGTGTCCCGCTTTTCTTCCACAAAGAATGCACGCCCTGCATCTTGCTTCCCTGTTCCTCCTGCTCCAACGTCCTCTGGTCCTTCTTTCTGTCTGTGCCTCTGTCTTTGTCTCAGCCTCTCCAGCTCATTTGCCTCCTGGCTGCTGGACTCCTGGGTTCTGTCCCCTTCCCAGCTTCTGAGCTTCCATTCAGGCCTCTCCTGCCCTATCTGTGCTGGTCTTTATTCCTGCTTCTCTCTCCTGTTTGCCTGGTTAAGCTGCTTCTTTCGGGTCCCCACAGGATCCCAATCCTCCTGCTCTGTCACCACCAGACCAGCCCAGTGAGGAGCTCCATGGCCAAGACATGGGGTCCTTGAACTAGTTGCTGTTATCTTTAGCCTCAGTTTCCATTCCTGTTTTGAGCAAAGATGTGTATCTATCTCCCAGTCTTTCTAAGCCTGTGTTGTCCTAAGAGCCTTTGTGGGGTGGATGTTTGGGAAGGCACTTGGGGTACAGATGATAGGATACAGAGTGGAAGAGGGAGGGAGAGGATAACTGGGGTACAGATGATAGGATGCAGAGTGAAAAAGGGGGCCCCTAAGAATCAGGGTCCAGGGTGGACAGGACCTTTGAGGCTGAGGATGGGGGGGATTGGAAAAGGTGACTTTCTTTGCCCAGTTTAAAGTGAAGAGAAACAGAGTCATAACACCTCACCCAGTATCCTACATGGAGCTAGGGAGTCCAGAACTCACCCTCAGTACTGTGAAGAGTCCAACCAGACAACGGGCCCCCCACCCATGACAAATACATTCATATCTACTTGCCCTGCTGACTTGGGACCTGTGGCCACTTGGGTGCCTTCCCTGGGACTAGGCTTTCCACCTTGCTGTCACACAGGGATAGGGTCTCCATTCCTTTCTCAGTCAGAAGTCTCTGGAGATGGCCTTTTAAGAACCAGAAGCTAGGTCCTTTGGTTTTGCCTGGGCTCCAGTTTCCCTAGGGTTGGAGACTGTCTCTCAGAGACTCTTATGTCCTCTTCCTTGTGGGTCCTCTTGGAAATCCAAGGCTCATGGTGGAGACTGAATCCCTGAGTTTGTAACTCTGACATAGTCTGTGCTGCAAAGTGTACTAGGAGTTTTGGGTCTCTTGGACACCTTTGTTTTGGATAGGGCTTGGCATTGGCTGGGGTCTCCTGTCCTCTGCCTGTGCCTCCACTCCCTGCCTCCTTCCCCCTCTGCTGTGTTTGGTAGAGACACAGGACCTACCTCTAGCCCAGATCAGGGCAAGACTGAGAGGCAGGTCCAGGGGAGTGACCCGGGAGCTTCTTAGCCTACTGACTCCACCCTCTTCACAGCTCCTGATTTCCTGAGATAGAAGAGTGAGGAGGGACAGAGTCAGTAGGGAAAGCTGGAAATAAGAGGTGGGTGGGGGGGAGCCACCCTCTGGTTCTACTTTTCCCTGTCTGTCTGTCTATCTCTCTGCAGGAGCTGGGTCCCTTCTCATCTCTCTTCCTGTCTGTCCTTTCCTGGCCCCTGTTTCCTCCTCTTTTTGCCTTTTGCTGCTTCTACCCTCATCCCCTGGAGACCCAGGTCTGCTGGACCCATCCATCCTCTTTGGGGCCATGGGATCGCTTCTTGGGCTCCTGGCACTGCTGCTGCTCTGGGGTGCTGTGGCTGAGGGCCCAGCCAAGAAGGTGCTGACTCTGGAGGGGGACCTGGTGCTAGGTGGGCTGTTCCCGGTGCACCAGAAGGGTGGCCCAGCAGAGGAGTGTGGCCCTGTGAATGAACATCGTGGCATCCAGCGCCTGGAGGCCATGCTTTTCGCGCTGGACCGTATCAACCGTGACCCCCACCTGCTGCCTGGCGTGCGCCTAGGTGCACACATCCTCGACAGCTGCTCCAAGGACACACATGCCCTGGAGCAGGCACTGGACTTTGTGCGTGCCTCTCTCAGCCGTGGTGCCGATGGCTCCCGTCACATCTGCCCCGACGGCTCTTACGCCACCCATGGTGATGCTCCCACTGCCATCACTGGTGTCATTGGCGGCTCCTACAGTGACGTCTCTATCCAGGTATGTGGAGGCCACCTAAATGGGGGCTGAGGAGGAAGGCACAGAATTCCCGGGCAGGGACTTCCTGGATACCATGAACTGGAAGGGGAATCAGCAGCTTCCTTTTAGTAGCTTCTTATAGAAGATTAAGAAGTTTCCTTATCATATAATAGGGTTAACTTCTAGAGATTGTGTAAGAGAAACTTCCCTAAGGAAAAAACAAATGGAAAGAAAAGAGAAACACCACACTCATTCACACACACACACACACACACACACACACACACTATGTTAAGCAACCTGACATCTTACTAGTCCTGGTCTTGGCTCCCTGTGTACTAATGTATGACTGTCCACAGTTTCTTTTCCTGTGTCTCAGTTTCCTCCTTATAAAATTGAATTGATAAAATTTTCTACTTTTAGGTTTGTAGTGGAAATTTAGTGAGGTGTTGCATGCAACACATATTAGAGGGCCTGGCACAATCAATATCACCTGCTATCATTTTAACCCATTTTATACACAAGGAAACTGAGACTTATTCGAGAGGCAGATCACAAGCCAAGGTGGTAGCAAAAGGGAGATGTAAAGCTAGGACTCTCAGCCCAATCTGTCAGATCATCTCTCCCTGAATTGGAGAGGGGTAGACAGAAGTCAGGAACAGCCAGAGAACAGAAACAAGACGGGGGACCCAGGATGAAAAGAAACAGAATGTGTGTAGGATAGGGACTAGGTACCCTAGGATCTTCAGGGAGTGCAGGATTTAAGGGACTGAGAATGTGAGAGAACCACTCACTTCCTCCTGCTTTCCCAGAAGGGATCAGCAGAGAATGCCCTGTTGCTGGTCCCCAGCAGAGGAGTGCTGGCCCAGCTGACTTCCTTTTGCTGCTCCCTGCACTGTACCCTGGGCCTGCCTTGCCTCCTTAGCCCAGTGGGATCCTCCCCTTCCCTGACTGGGTCCCACCTCTCATCCAGATTCTTGCCTGCCTGTGCAGTGTAGGTTGCTGAAGATGAGGCCAGAACTGGGATCTGGACTGAGGACCTTCTGGGGGACCTTGACTAGAGCCTCAGCTTCCTTTAGGAGACTGGCAAAGTGCATTGCCATCGGGGTAGGACCAGGACCCCTGACCTGGGACGTTTGCTTGGGAGAAATGAAAGACAAGCAGGAACCACAGGGTTGGGGCAGGCCTCAGCTATCTGTCCTGCTAGTCTCAGAAATGGCTGGGTGGTAGCTTAGACAGGTGTGGCTATGCCAGCACCTACATCTTGCAGCCTGGCTAGGGCAGTGATGGGTGGGCAGCCTCCTACCCACTGATGTCTTCAGGAGCCTCTGGTGTGCATCCCTCCTCTCCACAGTTCTATTCAGGGCCTCATACTTGTATCTCCAGGATCCCAGTTACCTCCTTGTCATCCCAAGCTGCCTACCTCCTAACTCAGGCTGCTTCTTCCTTGTCCTGGTCAGCACAAGGTCCAGCCCTTCATCCTGCCTGCTAATGACTCCTCCTCATTCCTGCCCCTTCTCTCTTGTCCATATCATTTTTACAAGCTGTTCAGCAGCTTATAAGACAAGGATGAGAAACTGAGGCTCAACTGGAAGAGGGATTTGAGCCTTAGACTAAGTGAGAGCCCTGTGTCCCAGTTTCAGTACAGAACTTAGCCCTCTCCTCTGGGACCCCCTTGGCTGGACCCCATTCCTTTGGCCCCAGGGATCCAAGGGTGGGAGATGGTGTGCCATATAGTCAGGTAGAGCAAGGAGTCTTGTTTATTTCAGGCTCAGGCATCCAGTGGAGACCAAGTCTTGGGATGCCAGGGTCATGGACACTTGGATCTGGGCCTTTCTTCCTGAAAGAGCCTTTTCCTTCTTTCTCCACCATCCCATCAGGGTTGACACTTGGGGAAGGCTTGCCTCCTTACAAGGAGAGAGCTTGAGAGCCTGGAGCATCCCAGACACCATCTAGTGACTCCCTCTGCTCCTAGTCCAGCCACATCCTGATCTCTTTGCCATGTGTCTGATTCAAGTGTGGCTCAGGGCCCTTGGCCCCGAGGAAGGGACAGAAACTCTCTACCCCCAGGTGGAGGGCTCTTCAAGTTCTCAGGTCTCTTGAGAGAGGGAACCCTCAGGGCTGACCTTATGAGGCCTTGACCCCAAGGTTTCATAGATGTAGGGGGTGCATCTGTCTCTAGTGCTTGTCTGACCTGGTCTCTGATCTTTTCCATCTCTGCCTCTGCCCCAGGTGGCAAACCTCCTGAGGCTTTTTCAGATCCCACAGATCAGCTATGCCTCCACCAGTGCCAAGCTGAGTGACAAGTCCCGCTATGACTATTTTGCCCGCACAGTGCCCCCAGACTTCTTCCAAGCCAAGGCCATGGCTGAGATCCTCCGCTTCTTCAACTGGACCTATGTGTCCACTGTGGCATCTGAGGGTGACTATGGCGAGACCGGCATTGAGGCCTTTGAGCTAGAGGCCCGTGCCCGTAACATCTGCGTGGCCACCTCAGAGAAGGTAGGCCGTGCCATGAACCGTGCAGCCTTTGAGGGCGTGGTGCGAGCCCTGCTACAGAAGCCCAGTGCCCGCGTGGTTGTCCTGTTCACCCGATCTGAGGATGCCCACGAGCTGCTTGCCGCCACCCAGCGCCTCAATGCCAGCTTCACCTGGGTGGCCAGCGATGGCTGGGGAGCCCTGGAGAGTGTGGTGGCAGGCAGTGAGGGGGCTGCCGAAGGTGCCATTACTATCGAGCTAGCCTCCTACCCCATCAGTGACTTTGCTTCCTACTTCCAGAGCCTGGACCCCTGGAACAACAGCCGGAACCCCTGGTTCCGTGAGTTCTGGGAGCAGAGGTTCCGCTGCAGCTTCCGGCAGCGAGACTGTGCAACCCACTCTCTGAAGGCTGTGCCCTTTGAGCAGGAGTCCAAGATCATGTTTGTGGTCAATGCAGTGTACGCCATGGCCCACGCACTGCACAACATGCACCGCGCCCTCTGCCCCAACACCACCCGCCTCTGTGATGCGATGCGGCCTGTCAACGGACGCCACCTCTACAAGGACTTCGTGCTCAACGTCAAGTTTGATGGTAATATTGCTGGCCAGTGTCCATCGGCCCTGCTGGCCTTCAGAGGATGAGGGGAAGCAGGCCTTCAAGTTCCATTCCTTGTCTAAGAAAACATAGGACCTAGCACAAGGAAGGACTCAACCAGGGGTGGGTGTCAGCACCAGGACAAGGACCGCTAGGCAGGGAGGACTCCAGCTGGATCCAGGGCTGAGGTTCCACTTTCTGAGAAAGTTCTAGAAAGCAGACCTCTGCCCTGGTCTTGTCACTTTGAGGTTCTCTGGTCCTTGCTTGGCTCTCGCTCTCTATCTCCTGGCTCTTTATTGTGCCAGGAGACCAATATTATCAGGCAGCAGTGAGAGTCTGAATCACTGATCATCTTTTCAAGGAAAATTTCTATCCCTAACTTTGATTTTCTACCCAAAGTGTCCTGAAATCGAAAGTTAAAGTGCCTGTTATACGATGAATAAATGCTTCAGAATCATCACTGGGCCTCAGGAAGAATCGTTGTGGGGCAGTGGGAGAAGTTTCAGGACTAACAGAGCACTGGCCAGGGTTAGACCTTGGTAATAGGGGAAGGAGTTGTTTCTAGGACCCCTGTGGACACCAAAGTCTGGGGATGCTAATCCCTTATGTAAAACAATGGTGTAGTGTTTGCAAATAGCCTGCACCCATCTTCTGTTTACTTTAAATCATCTCTAGATTACTTACACCTGATATAATGCAAATGCTATGTAAATAGTTGTTACACTGCATTGTGAGGAAATAATAAAAAAATAAGTCCGCGCATGTTAGGTATAGATGCAACCACTGCAGGTCTAACTGGGTTTAAAAAAATTTTGCGGGGGAGTACTGGAGTTTGAACTAGGGCCTTATGCTTGCTAGACAGGCTCTCTACCACTTGAGCCACACCCCTAACTCTTTTTATTTTTCAGATAGGGTCTTGTGTGTTTTGCACAGCGCCGCCCTCAGACCATGATCCTCCTGCTTTTAGCTTCCGGTGTAGCTGGGATCAAGGCCCTTGCCACAATGCCCCACTTATTGGTTGAGATGGGGTCTCACTAACTTTTGACTTCGAATTCCTCTAAGATCAACACTCCAAGCTATAATAAAATCAGGGCAGGGGAGAGGGCTGGAGTCTGGAATCTGATTGAGTTAATGTTAGAGCAAAGCCATATTCAGCCTGCTGTGCTTAGGTAGAATTTTGGTTGAGTTAGAGTTGAATTTTGAGAACTTCGATGCTGGGTGGAAGAAGTAGGGATTGGGGAGGGGGCCTTGGATTTAAATCTAGATGCACGATTGGGGACTTGCTTGCTTTGAACCCTGATTTCTTGCTGGGCCCAGGGATGACTGTAGTCCTCTCTCCTGAGCCCAGCTGGATGCTATGACGTTGGTAGGGGATGGAGTGAGGGTAGAGAGTGTCAGTGGCCAATCTGTGAAAGGAAGTGGTTGCAGGTGGCCACTGAGGTTGGGACTGGGTCAGTGTTAGGACTGCTAAGGGCTGGAGCCAGGCTATTGTTACGATTAGTTGGACCAGGGCTCCATTTAGAGTTGGAGTCTCTGTATGAAGTATGGGGAGAGGGCTGTGTTGTGTGTTGTGATTTGGAGACTTTGTCTAAGATTGGGTTTGGTGAGTGTGATCGATGATTGGTATAGGCATAGATTGTGAAAATGTTTGGGCTTTAAGGCTGGGGTTCCATTTGGGGTTTAGAGTTGATGAAGTCTGAGGTTTGAGGTTGGAGTTTTGCAACAATAATTTGTCATAACCTCTTTTAGAAAAATAACTGGGGTCAAGATGGGATTCAGTGTGGGAGTGAGGATCAGAAGAGCTAGTGGCTGCTTTAGCCCTGGAGCTTGGGTTCATGCGCAGGGAGGATTGAGGTCATATCAGTCCAACCCTCTCTTCCTTCCTTCCCTCCCCTATCCCAGCCCCCTTCCGCCCTGCTGACACTCACAACGAGGTCCGCTTTGACCGCTTTGGTGATGGTATCGGCCGTTACAACATCTTCACCTATCTGCGGGCAGGCAGCGGGCGCTACCGCTACCAGAAGGTGGGCTACTGGGCAGAAGGCCTGACCCTGGACACCAGCCTCATCCCATGGGCCTCGCCCTCAGCTGGCCCCCTGCCTGCCTCTCGCTGCAGTGAGCCCTGCTTGCAGAATGAGGTGAAGAGCGTGCAGCCGGGGGAGGTCTGCTGCTGGCTCTGCATCCCCTGCCAGCCCTACGAGTACCGGCTGGATGAGTTCACCTGTGCTGACTGTGGTCTTGGCTACTGGCCCAATGCCAGCCTCACTGGCTGCTTTGAGCTGCCTCAGGAGTACATCCGCTGGGGTGATGCGTGGGCTGTGGGACCTGTCACCATCGCCTGTCTGGGTGCCCTAGCCACCCTCTTTGTGCTGGGTGTCTTTGTGCGGCACAATGCCACACCTGTGGTCAAGGCCTCTGGTCGGGAGCTCTGCTACATCCTGCTGGGAGGTGTCTTCCTCTGCTACTGCATGACCTTCATCTTCATTGCCAAACCATCCACAGCAGTGTGCACTTTACGGCGCCTTGGTTTGGGCACTGCCTTTTCTGTCTGCTATTCAGCTCTGCTCACCAAGACAAACCGCATTGCTCGTATCTTTGGCGGGGCCCGGGAGGGTGCCCAGCGGCCACGCTTCATCAGTCCTGCCTCACAGGTGGCCATCTGCCTAGCACTTATCTCAGGCCAGTTGCTCATTGTGGCTGCCTGGCTAGTGGTGGAGGCACCAGGCACAGGCAAGGAGACAGCCCCTGAACGGCGGGAGGTGGTGACATTGCGCTGCAATCACCGTGATGCCAGCATGTTGGGTTCCCTGGCTTACAACGTGCTCCTCATCGCCCTCTGCACGCTCTATGCCTTCAAGACCCGCAAGTGCCCCGAGAACTTCAACGAGGCCAAGTTCATTGGCTTCACCATGTATACCACCTGTATCATCTGGCTGGCATTCCTGCCCATCTTCTATGTCACCTCCAGTGACTATCGGGTGAGCCACCTGCCACAGAGGTGGGAGTGGGTGGGACAAACACCCAGAGTTTCCTGGTATCTCATTTTATCTACTGATAACTCAGAGTCTCCACAAGGTTAAATGCTCACTCAGAGGCCAACAGTCTTGTGCGGATCTCAGGAGAAGGTGGGAGGACTGAGTAGGGCCTGGCAAAATGGACAAAGGGGGAAATTCAAGTTAGAGAGCGATAAGAGATGTAAGGACTCAGGAGTCATCCACTAACCTGGGAGGAGATGGGGGTGCAGTGAGCAGAGACTCTGCCTTGCTCCACTGAGGGGTTGGCTAGAGAAGGGGTTGACAGATGGAGGAAGGCAGGAGAGGTGAAGCAGAGGGTAGGTGAGAGGGTTGAGGAAGGTTCAAACTACTCCAGTTGGCTTCCAAGCAAATTTGGTTCCAACTGGCATTGAGTGTCTCAATGGGTGTCCTGGGCTCCAAGGCGCAATGGCTTCTTCAGGTGGGATGGTCAGGAAAGACCTCTCTGAGGAGGTGACAGGATAAGCAGATCATCTTGGTTAATCCTCGTGACTCTGGAGTAAGCGCCACAGCTTTCCCATCTTACTAATGAAGAAACAGAGACTCAGAGAGTCAAGTCCTTGCCCAAGGTCACTCAGCTTGGGAGCAAAGGACAGGGTTTTAGCAATTAAAGGAGCAGAAAAATGATAGCAAAAGTCCGGGCCCAGGTGCTTTCCTCAGGAAAGAGGTGTGGTGGCACAGTGCTGGGGGTCCGGGACTGCTGGGCTTGTCTGCTTTGCTTGCACCTGCTGGGCCACCTGCTTGGGTGGTGGAGGCCAGGGTTGGGGAGGGAATCTACACTGACTCAGACTTCTTTTGCATATGATTTGCATTTGCATGCCAATCACAGGCAGCTAAGGACTCACTGGGGACATAAACATACACAGCATCCAACCATGTATGCACATACACACTTGTTCACAAACACATACCTGCACACATGGAAACACACACATACACATATCCCATGTATACACACAAGTGTGTGCACACATACATCCTGGCACACCCAGTACACACACATCTCCCTGTCTATACACTCATCCATACCCAAATACCCACCCTCACCACCAAGCACTCACTGCTGCACATACAACCACACAGATACACATGCACCCACATGCATGTATGCCATGCACATACCTCTGTATGCACACACCCCTATGCACACATGCACTCTGCATATTCACTCACAGCTGGAACTCTGGTATCTTTGGAAGAATGGTCCACTGGGGCTGATGCTGGGACTGTGTCCATCTTTCCTAGAAATTCTTTGGGGCTTGGCAAATAGACCAAGGTCCAGTGGGTGCTTACCATCTCCCCAATTCCTTTCCCTACAGCCTGGGCAGGACTTTCGCACGGACATCCTTGACCTGTGTTTGCTCCCCAACTTCCCCACCGCAGGTGCAGACCACCACCATGTGCGTGTCGGTCAGCCTCAGCGGCTCTGTGGTGCTTGGCTGCCTCTTTGCCCCCAAGCTGCACATCATCCTCTTCCAGCCACAGAAGAATGTGGTGAGCCACCGGGCGCCCACCAGCCGTTTTGGCAGTGCTGCTGCCAGGGCCAGCTCCAGCCTTGGCCAAGGTCAGCATCCTATGCAACCCTCTCCACCCAGGTCCTCAGGCATGGGGGCCCTGCCCCAGGTTGAGTTTCCTTGTCTGGGGTGGGGTGCCCTCAGGATGACACTGAACACAGAGGGAGGCATAGAGAACATGCGTCCCTCCACATTCCTATTTCCCCTGCTACCTTTCTCAGAGGACCTCAGGGTCAGCCCTGACCTCTGGTTTTCTTTCCATAGGGTCTGGTTCCCAGTTTGTCCCCACTGTTTGCAATGGCCGTGAGGTGGTGGACTCAACAACATCATCGCTTTGAAGACCCCACAGTCTTGCCCTGACATGGCTGCTCCCTTGAGCCCAGTACAGACCCACGTCCATGGCCAGGAGGAAGTCGGCTGGAACACTGCAATAATGCCCACTCTAAAAATCACTTACCCACCCACTTGTCCCAACCCTTCAGAGTCAGAAGTCAGGGTCTTTAGCTGGGGAACCTCTACAATGTCCACCAACCACCCTCACTGTTGTGTCCCCCACTTGCCAGGCCCGGGGCTCAGAGTGGGAGAGAGCCGGGGTCCACTCTGCCCTGTAACAAAACAAGGTGGTTGAAGAATGCAAGCTCCAGTCCCCAGCAGCAAAGGTGCTTCCAGCCCAGACCTTCCCCCTCCTTGGGCCTTTTTAATTTTTATATAAGTTACTCTGGGATGGAGAGGGTGGTTATGGTGGAGGCCATTCGCTCCCCGACCTGCCCTGCACAGTAGTTTGTCCTGTGATTTATTTTGTATTATCTGTAAATAAAGTGTCTTTATTTTAAAAAAAAAATCACTTTTTGTCCTTGACTCAGGGAAGCCCCTCACAACCTCCCTGGTCTCCCACACTCCATTCTGCTAGTGTTTGTTGACTCTGTTCTGTGACTGATGATAAGACCTGGCAGTCAGTAAGACAGACCCAGTCCTGCCTGCTAGGGAGACTGAAAATAAATTAGCCATCCTTCTTTAAATAGGGCCCCTACAGATTGGTCAATGTGCTCCCAGGATGAGGGCAGGAGGTTTAAAATGGCCAGACTCATCTGGCCGTCCAGGGAACGTTTCCCTAGGGACCTGGGATGCAGGATACCCAGGTGTGAGTAATGGGTAAGTGACTGTGACCCCTGGGAACATTGTGCTTTTTCCACGGTTGGCTGACTTGCAGGTGGAGGAGCCACTGGTCAGCTCAGAGCCAGGCATGGGACCGAAAGTCACCTGTTCACTTGACGAAGTCAGAAAGAGCTAGTGAGAAGGAGGGTAGATACTGGTCAGTTGAAGAGTTCATCTGCTGTTTGGCCTGGTGAGAAGTCAGTCCTTTCTCCAGTCCCTGGAGGACTTCGGTCTGGAGGACCAGTGACAGAGCCCAGAATCTCCTGAGTTTGCCATCTGGGGCTCACCAGCAGAGGGCACCAAGGCCCAGCCTCACGTCCAGGCTCAGGGCAGGCCACGGCTGCCCTCATGTGGCCTAAAGGGCAGTGGGCACTGAACCAGAAGAATGGCTGTGGTACCTCAAGGGGACAAGATTCTGTGTTAGACCAGTAGGCCAAGGACATTTGTGATTTTCAAGTGAACTCATTTGCATTCGCGGGTGGGAAAGCTGAGGAAATTTGGGTTGACAATTTAAAAAATGGAAACAGAAAAATGAAAAAAGAAAACTTGCAAGAATGACTTCTTCTCAACCAATGTGTGGGATGTAGGGATGAAAAGTAAAATGTTAAAAAAAAAAAGTAAAATGTATGGAGGTCATAAGCAGTGAATACTTTTCTAGTATAGTCTCCCACACAACATTTGGGACACACACTAAAAATTTTTGTTTATTTGATATTCAAATTTAATTGAGCCTCCTGTTTCTTACCTGCTAATTTTGGCAATCTCATTGAAGTAACCTCTATCCCAGCTTCTTATGCCCATATAACCCTGGTTTGAGCACAGTTCCCAAGGGCTGGGCACCAAGGAGTTGTGCCCCATGGCACCTGGAGCACTGGTTCCCCCCTTCCAGTGTGGCTTTTTCTGGGTCTTCCTGCCAACCTGGATGCAGTGAACATTCGCCTATCATCCCTGGCCTCAAGAGGACATATGACTCAGGGGTTTTCATTAAAATATAAAAAAAAAAAAGTAGTAATGAAACTGGTTCACAGCCAGAAAGGTACAAAGGGAGCCAGGTGGGATTGTCATGCTTATAATCCCAGCACTCGAGAGCTTGAGGCAGGAGGATCCTGAACCAGCCTGGGCTATGTAGTGAGAGCTTGTCTCAACAACAACAATAATAAAGGGTCTTTGTCGGAGAACCTTCTATCCCTGCCATCATCTAAGGGAAGAGCCAGATGCCAGGTGAGAAGTACAAGAAGTGAGTGAAGACTTCCTAAGAGCCAGCCCTCACATATGCCACCACACCCCTTTCCTCCTGCCTGCTCCCTTCGCTCCTCTGCACTTGTAGCCTTCACGCTTATATTACCTGGCCATCTTCTCCCCACCCTATAATACTGTGGGCAGTGAGTAGTGGCCTTCACTCCTCAGCAGGCTCCACCAGCTCCCCACACCCCAAGTCCTCCTCCCATCCCTGGGTGGCCTGGACTAATGTCTCCCTACACTTCTCACTAAGGCCATAATCTACATCCCACAAAGCCCTGACAGCTCTGCTAGGGGAATGGGGTTACCTGCTGGGTCTGCTTATTCTAGACTTGGAGTCCTCAAAGGAGAGTCCTGCTCCTTCTGGGGACTGAGGACCAGATATTTCAAGCATTTGGGATTCTTCTTCGGAGTTGCCCATCGTGGTGAATTGACCAGCCAAAATCACAACTCCCAGGTTGTTTGCCTTGATAGCCAGAGTTTACATGGAGGCCTGGGTGCTTTTCCACATGGCTTTGCTCAAAGATCCTCCCTGCCCCTGCTTCCATCCTGTCACCTGTCCTTTGCATTGCTCCTGTGAAAACCACAGGGTAGCCCTTAACCTGTCCCTCTTACTCAACCATGTGTTCCGGTGGCTTGGCAGAGGTGGCTCAGGCCCCTCTGTCTCTGGGCATGTCACAAGGGCAGTCCTGGTGAGGGATGCTCTCCCATATCTGAGCCCTGTCTGTAGCAGACCTTTGAGACAGAACATCAGCATCTGAGAGGAAGTCAGTGATGCATTAGTCAAAGGTGCTGGGGACAAAGACTCAAGCTGTCCCATCCCCCAGAATCCTGAGGGTGAACATTGGTCATAGCTGCATTCAGGCCAGCGTCCACTTCCCACTACTCCACTCCACCTGTCTTGCTTTCCTTGCTGATGTGAAGGTCGTGGGGAGGGAGGAGAAATTGCCAAGGGCCTCAAACCCTTGAAACTAAAACTGTGCCTACCTCAAGTTCCAGCAGAAAAAGGAGAAAGTCATTACTCCTGCTCTCCCAAAGGTTTAGTGGGGGATTGGGGTTAAACACAAAGAGATGGCATGTTCTCAGCCTAGGAAAGAGAAGCTAGCTCCGGGGACCACAGGGAAGGAGAAAAGTGAGGGGTGGGAAGGTAGGGAAGAGGGACATGGAGGAGACTGAGGGAGATGTGTGAGCAGGAAGAAGAACGTGGAAACAAAGCTTTTAGTCCTCGGGGCACTTGTCAAGATGTCATATTTTTTAAAGGAAAAATTACTTTATTCATTCTGTGAAAACAGTATGTGCTCCCTATAAACACTTTAAACATTGCAGAAAAAATACAAAAAGAAAATCAAAAGTATTACCTCAAGTTTCATGATTCAAATATAACCATCATTAACATTTCTGGTACAGCATGCTAGACATATTTCTATGCGTTTTTACAGATAGGAGGGATAGAAATACTTTCATAAAAATGGGATCATACCATATGTCTAGTTTTTAAGTGAAGATTTAATTTTACTTGACTCTAATTGAAGAAAATGAATCTGAAGTAAAAATGGAAGTTCCTGAGCTGCACAGCTCTTCCCCACAGAAGACATTCTTCCCCATAAAAGATCCCTTGGAGCTTAGGAAAGGGGGGTGATATTTAGAGGTAAAGATCTCTTCAGTCACAGAGCATCTGAGGAGGGTTTGCCCCCAGTGTCACCTTCTGGCAATCTAGGTGGGAGGACTCGTATATGAGGACAAGCTGAGGGTCTGCTGCTCCTCTCTGTCCCCACACAGGGCACCTGGTCCTGGTTTGTGGGAGGAAGACAGGTGGGCTTCCAGCACCTCTGCGGAAGGATGGTCTCAGGAAGCCACCTACTCTACCATTGTCACGGATGTCACTCCTCTCCTGATGTTTGCAGGAAACTTGATCACTTTAGCTTTTTAGGTCTTTTGCCCTTCTTGCTCTTCCTCCTCTTCTTCTTCTTCTCCTCCTCCTCCTGCTCCTCCTCCTTCTCCTCCTCCTTCTTCTTCTTTTTAATCTTTAGGCTATTCTCCTTCTCTTCCTTCTCCTCCTCCTTCTCCTCCTCCTTCCTTCTTTGGTGGTACTAGAGTTTAAACTCAGGACCTTGTGCTTGCTAGGCAGGTGCAAAACCACTTGAGCCATGTCCTCAACCCTTCTTTGCTTCAGTTATTTTTCAAACAGGGTCTCATGTTTTTCCCTGGGCTAGCCTGGACAGTGATCCTCCTGTCTCCTGCGTAGGTGGGACGACAGGCATGCACCGTAACTCCTGGCGTATTGGTTGAGATGGAATCTTGCTAACTTTTTGCATGGGGCTGCCTTCAAACCATGATCCTCCTGATCTCTTGAGTAGCTGGGATTACAGATGTGATCTACTGTGCCCAGTTTTGATCTTTCATGAATTAATTTTTGTGTGTGGTGTGAAGTTACAACACAGATACTCAGTTGTGCAGGATGGTTTCTTGCAAAGACTTTGTTTGCCCATGCTGAGTTATACTGGCATCCTTGGCTGTAATTTCTGGATTTTATTATGTTTCATTTATCCATATGTTTGTCCTAATAAACACTACTCTCTGTCTTAATTACTGCAGCTTTATAGAAATCTTGAAATCAGGAAGGGTGAGCCCTCCAACATTATGCTTTTTTCCCTCCCAAATTATCTTGGTTGTTCTTCGAATTTTAGAACGAGCTTTTCCGGTTTTGCAAAAAAAAAAAAAAATCAATGTGAGGAAAATTGTAACGTTAATAGGATTGTCATTCAGTCCATGAATTCATCAGCTCTTCATTTATCTCAATTTCTAATTTCTTTCAGCATTGCTTTGTAGTTTTTAGTACAGGAGTTTTACGGTTATTATGTTAAGTTTATTCCTCAGCATTTGATTTTTCAATGATATTGGAAGTGATTTTTTAAAGTGTCATTTCATTTTATTTTTTATTATAATATTATTGTTTTACTGGGGATATGTTGTGGCATTTACAAAAGTGCTTACAATATGTCATAGTTGAATTCACCCTCTCCACCATTCTCCTTTATCCCCCCTCCCCATTCCTGGAATAGTTTCCACAGGTCTCATTTGTCCATTTTCATACACAAGTACATAATATCTCCACCATACTCACCCTCCCACACCCTTTCTTATATCCTCCATGTTCCCACTGGTAACAACACCCAGACAGGACCCGTGTCCTATTCTCTGTTTTTGAAAAAAGGCGTTTGTTTAACATAGGTGTACAGGGAGTTTCCTTGTGACATTTCCATGTATATGTGTATTTTAACCCAAATTGGTTCATCCTCTTTATTTTCCTTTCTACCTTAGTCCCCTTCTTATGGTGATTTCAACAGACTTAAAAATTCTACATTCATTCTCATTTCATTTTCTAGTTGTTAGTTGTTAGTGTATAAAAACACAATTAAAAATTGTGATAAATTGTATATAACATAA